AAAAGATAAATCATTTAATAAATTACTTTTTTTACATTTAAAATTACCTCAAGACAAAATATTACTCAAGCCGTGGAAACAACTACAAAAAATGGGTACTTTGAACACTGTTTTCTCTTAAAATATACATGAATGAGCTATTGCCTCCTGCATTTTTATTTAGAAAGAAGTTTTAAGACTTGCTGTTACTTTCAGCTAAGTGGAGATAAAAAAATCTCCATGATTGTTAATTTCTGAAGAGAGATTTTGGGTCCCAGTTAGTGGGGGTTTTATAAAGATACAAGTTACTTTAATCGTAAGTTCAAGCTAGAACATGAAAGTAATATTGTGGTGGACAGACTTCCAAGGATTTTCAGGAAGGCCAACAACATTGTCTGTTAAAGTAATTGTGTTCTGACATTTTCAATAACCACCCACCTTACCCATCCAAGAAAACATATGAAAAAACAAACCCAAACCCCAATGTTTTTCCCTTAAATATTTTTCTAGGCAGGAATGATCTAATCTTAGCAAAGTCCCTCCTGTATCACCTCTATTATAACACACATTCCCTGTTACTAGCAGCCATCACCGTGTTCAGTCAAGATAAAAGAACAGCCCAGACTAACAAATAAAAATTTTAAGAAATTGCAGAGACATTCCTGTAACTTGCGCAGACCCCATGAAAATGTGCACAATGACATGTCGTTCAGGGGATGAGACAGGGAGGGGTGAAGAGAAGAACGGCTACATGATTAGCTGTCCTGTCTGTAGTTCATCTGCTTGACCATTTACTGTGTTTAAGATGAAGAGTTTGTGGACTCTCCAGAATGGTTCTCGGGGTTTTATCTACGTTGACTGCTTCAGAAATGAGATTTTATATCATTTTTCACTTGATGCTCCCCAGGTTTTATTTGGCAGTTCAGAAGGCAGTGAATCTGCCAATGACCAAACCAACACGCATACAAAAAATTTTGCTTAATGTAGGAGGGCAAGATTGTAAGTGAGATAAAGGCTGCTTTCTGGTTTGGCTGTGATGGTGGCCAGACCATACTTCAGTGTAGAACCTCGATGGTGAAGAGGCAGAAAAGGCAAACTCGACTGTAGTACAGTCATTCTGTCTATACCCCAACTGTACTTAAATCGTTCCAGCAAAAGCCCACGGGTCCACTCCAAACAAACCACTGATGAGCTTCTTCTCAAAGTATGGGTCATCACAAGGAAAAATAATACTCTTCAGAGCATTATTTTAAAAGTAGTACTCCATACTTTCTTAAAGAAAAATTCCAAAACTCTCCAAGTCCTTTCTTCCAGGTCTATTAATTTGGCCACCCCTCTTGGGACTTGCAGACTGATATTCCTCACTGCGTAGCACATTCATTGACATTTGCAGTATCTTCTCCCTTCAGATCCTCATTCAAGCTTTTTTTCTGCTCTATTTCAACCTGGCAGACGAAAAAGAGGGATAACATTTGTAATGAGAAAGGTGAACAAAAGATTCAAAAATCTCCCTTAGTGGCAGTTTGTGTCCTGCTCAGGTGAAGAAACTCTTGGTAAACTGAAAGGGTTGTGAAGAGAAATAGACTGAGGAGAGAAAGCTGGATTTTGTTTACTATAAGTGTTTTCAGTCTAATCCAAACGGTTTTATGATTCAATAGTGTCATGATGTCATTTCCAGAAGAGATAATGTCATGCAGAGAATCAGTCTCACATGATTTTATATTCATTACTATCCTCATCTGTACTTTGAATCCAAACCCAGAACTAAATCTGCAGAGGACAGGTGGTTTCCTAAGTGAAGGCAGAAGACCAGCCTCGACTTTAAACTCTGCAAAGACTGATGAATAAGGCAAAGAGATTAATTTTCAAAATGCATACTACATTTGTGTTCTAAATTTCAACACCTCTGAAAACTCAGGGAAAATCCAATGTTTAATTCTCAAAAGGGATACCTAGGAAGATTAAATACCATCTCCAGGGAATTTAAGAGACTACTAAAAATGTAACTACAATTACCATTAAAAATATTTGCCAGGAGAATCTTTTCAGTATCTCTCATCATTGCTCTTAAAGAAGGCAGGTAGGATGCCAATTTCTCTGCTGAGGGTTCAGTAACATGCAAATTTTGGCATACTGAGATTCTTGGCAGGTATACACGTAGTGCATTTTCCCATCTGCTCCTCTCCTTCGGGCAGGCAGGAAGCAGAAATATTTAAGCAGAGAAATAATGCGATCCTTTTGTCTGCTGTAGCACTCCCACTGCAGCTGCTACGAAGAGCAGCAAAACTCCCTGTTCACACTCTTACCGTATCAGCTAATCCCCAGGAGTTGGCTGCCTGTACACTCTTCCACAAAGCAACAACAGGCAAGTTTATTCCATCTTTGCTGAGGGATAATCCACCGCTTGTTTGCCATGAATCAATAGGCTGCACACGGTTACCTACTGCACAGAGCCTGGCATGTGCCAAATTCCCACCTCATCTGCCCATGGTATTGCATTTGTCTGCCCACACTTTTCAAGATAATGAAGTACGCAAAGTAACCATGGTGACTGCCACATGCTCAGTTTTACCTTGTAACTGTAGTGTGCTGAATAGTTGACCCACTTCCTCACGTCGGTCTTGTCCTCAACAGAGATGGACCGAACAGTGGCTTTGGACGCAGAAGTGGTGGGCATGTCAAATTCCACATCTACATAGCGGACAAAACTGGAAGGCACTTCCCGGTCAGAGCCAAGCTCTAGGTGACAGAAGAAGCAGTGAGGATGGCCAGAAGCTGGAAAAGAGAGCAGACAGACATGAAAGTTGTGATGGATGGATCAAAACACATAACATCTAGGAGGAAGCAAGAAACAGAATCTGCCTGGGTGAACTAGTTCGTAGCAAGTGACAGTATCTTACCTGTTTTGATGCTGTTGGAGTTTCCAGAGGAATGAAAAAAGGACTGCCAATCACTCTAGTTTGCTTTTAGCAGGTGAAAATACAAGATGTAAATTGAGCACAGTAGGGTAAAGGTATTTCCCCTCTTCTGATTCCTCCAGTGTATGTAACATGCTAAGTACACTGTGGCACATCCTTCTGAAATGTCAGGTGTTGATAGTAAGGAAAGGTGTGATTTGGCAGATATTTCATGATTATTTGAAATTGTTATCCCCATTTTTAACAAAAGAAAATATACTGGATAAGGTTAAATAACTCTCTGGGTTCAAAAAGCAAATTTGTGCACAGCTTGGAAATAGCTGTTTATTACTTACTATAACCTGTCAAAAGGTGGCTAGTCATTAAAGATGGCAAGGTGAGGAGGTAATCATGTTTAGCTCTGTCATCTGTAAATGATAACCTGTGTTATTATTTTTTCCCCTTTGCTTTTCTGGACAGCAGTGATGTAAAAATTAAAGTAGGGACTGCTGGTGAAGCTAGGTTGGTTTTATTTTTGACTGCTGCCAACTCCCTAAGCTCTTCAGTAAGTCTTTTAAGGTCTGCACATCAGTTTCTCTGTCTGCAAAATGAGGATGAGAGCTTTCGAAGCCATCTTGGGCTTTCTGATTGAAGGCATCCTATTATCTAAATATGTGTATATGAAATTAATGTATAAATAAATGAACGGAATTCTTGTCTGCCACTATTATAGGCTTTAGGATTTCTGACTACTTGTTCATTGGGAAAGTTCTACATACAGCTCAGCTAGGTGTACAGGACAGAGACAAGGAAGGCAGGCAGAGCAAAAAGAGCTGGGTGGGGAAAGCCTAGAAGGTTCCCCTGGGAAAAGGAGGAAAACACCGCCTGCGAAGGACTTGCAAGCCTGGGCCCTGAAAAGGAAGTCAGCTCCTCACTCTGAGCTTAGCCTAAAAGTCAGCCTTGTTGAACTGAAGCATGAAAAGCAAGATGTGGGATTTTGAGATATGACTTGTCCTGACAGGATGAAACTGAGGAGTCTTTAGAGGGCTTAGGGATTGCAACATCCCATTTAACCTCTGAAACAGAGTTGGAAAAAAATTTCAAGTCAGTGTAAGTCTGGGTAAAAATTTCATCTAGAATCAGCCTTGTATTTCCAAACAGTCTAGCCTGAGTTTCCTCACAACTGGAAGGTTTACAAACTTATGCCTGTGCAGCAAATCCAGCAAGAGGCTATGCAGTTCAGCAGAGACCGCAGAGATACGCAGCACCGCAGCTGGAGCCAAGTTACGAATGAGTGGGTGCAGCATCAAGCAGATATAAAAGCTCAAGTGCTGCAAGCACTAAAATACATCACCTGCTTTTCATCAGGATTAATTATCTCAAGCAGAGCCCAGGTTCTACAGCGAGCTAGGATCTCTCTCTGATAGCGCTTCCCTGTGTTTCATACTGGAGCACACCTTTTTCTGTATAAAAATCAGTGGCGCACAGCAGACCTTCAAGGTCACCCACCATGGGCTAGCAGCCCCACGTGCTCTCATGGAGATCGTTGTGTCCCCCAGCACCACAGGCCTTTTGCTTCTGGCCAGTTCTTGAGGTTGGCTGTAGTGGGCACACCAGCTCCCAGTCTCAGGCTCCCCATCCGTCTGTCTCTTTCCTCACCCTGTACCAGTCTCAGCAGACTCCTCATTGTAATCCCTCCTGCTCATCTGCTTGGCTATGCTGCTTTTCCTCTCCTCTCGTTTG